GCACCATCAAAACATCCTTCTGGCACAGCATCTTGACATGCTGCACTGGAAGGGATGCATAAGAGCTGTGTGGCAACTCTTGGTGTGCCCCTTCTGCCAGCTCCGAAAGGACCAGCATTTTAACGCTCCTTTCTGGGCTGGCAGAAGGGAGGATTGGGGCCGAGGCATGGGGCAGCCTTGGCCCCAATCCTCCACTTTCCAGGGCGGCCCATGGCCACCCGTCTGCAACATATAGATACATACAGAAAGAATAGATGAGGAAGGATGAGATATAAGTAAATGAATATGCAGTATTAATTTTCTGCAAGTTTTCAAAAAAGTTTACATGCCTGTGAACTGTACAGTAGGAAGCAAGAAATAGTTGATGTTTGTATGCATCTATAATTTTAAATGCTCTCTTGACTTTCTACCCTATCTGGACTAGGCTGTCTAATTCCTGGTCATCTGGCTCATCCAGATCATCACTGCAGAGCTTTTTCTGATTCATTTGAATGAAGAGAGAAATAAGTGTTATATAGTTGACACTTTCCTCCAAATCCCCAGATGACTCTTTAAAGGGTAGGAGATTTTAACATGGTAGGAAAAGAGCAAAATGGAGTCCTTCAGGACCTCATAGCATCACTCTCACAGGGTCAAGACATTAGTTGTCTTCTAGTGTCATTCACTACTGGGCCTTCAGGAAGTAAAGTGGAACCAGAATCAACAGGGTCAACACATATGTGTCAGAGATTGGAAAGATTACGTTTGAACTGCAACTTCCAGTGGCCATGCTGGTTGGGGTATCCTGAGAGCTGTAGTCCTAAAAGTAACATTTCCAAACTCTTCCCTGTGTGCTTTGTCCCACAGTCTCTATTGTGTACACCTATTACAGCCAGTCCTCCATATCCACAGATTCAACCATCCACAGCTTGAAAATATTTTTTTAAAATTAATCTAAAAAGCAAAGCTTGACTTTGCCATTTTATATAAGAGACACCATTTTACTGCAGGATAAGTGTTATTTATCTGAAATGCTTGGGACCAGAAGTGCTTTGGATTTTGGAATATTTGCCTATACATAATAAGACATCTTGGAGATGGGACCCAAGTCGAAACATAGACTGAAGGTAATTTTATGCATAATATTTCCAATAATTTGTGTATGAAACAGTCTGTGTATACTGAACCATCAGAAAATAAAGGTGTCAGTATCTCAGCCATCCATATGGATAATTGTGGATTTTGGAATCCCAGATAAGGGATCCTCAAGTTGTACACCATTGTATATAATAAGCCTTGAGTGTCCACAGATTTTGGTATCCATGGGGGTTCCTGGAACCAAACCCCATTGGATACCAAGGGCCCACTGTACTAGAATTGTACAAATCAGGCAATTACAAGAACACCCATATTCCAAGTATGTTTTTAGTTGATCTTGATTTTTCCCCTCTTTATCTGGAAACAACATGTGTGTCTATGTGAACATACATGTATCTTCTTAGAATCTCCCTCTTCTTTTCTCAACTGTCCAAATAGTATAACATTTCCCGGCATTCTGCAACTTCCCACCTCTTATGTGTCCATGTGCAAGCTTATAAAGGAACTTTCCCTTCCTGAAGGCTTTTTTGCTCCTCATACTCCCCTGACAGTAAAAGTATCCCCTTTCCTCCTCTCCACCCTTCCCAGCTAAGGCCAAGATACTTGAGGTTATGGATAGATAGAATGTGATACTATATTCCAGCACTAGAACTGTGGACTACATTCTGACAAAGCAGGAAATCTTATAGGGAATGGCTGGTGCATCCATGTAGCTATGAAATCCATCACATTAATTATGTCCATGGACAATGGAACATCTGTCTAGCAAATACTATACATTTTGGCTCTGGAGCACTTTGGAGTGAAATCCTTTTACACCTCTGTCTGGGATGAAGGTGGCCACTGTCAACTAGGAGTTGCACACTAAAAATGTAACTTAGGCTATGTGATGCTGCCTTATGCATTGTCCCTCCTGCCTTAGAGCAATCTATGCCAAGGTTTTGCACAGTGGATTTCCACAGCCCTGTTGCTGCCTGAGATAATTTAATAGGACATACAGAGGATTAATCTTTGGACCTTATGCATGCAAGGTATGTGTACTCTGCCACTGAGCCATGTGTCCTGTTTCAGTGAATGTGTTTGAACATGGAAAATAACAAGAAAATATCAGAACACCATGTATTATACTTGGGTAGGATTACATATCCTTGTAGATGCAGATGTGGAGGTGACATTTGTGTGTGCAAACATTACAAGAGAACTGGTCTAGTGTGATTATTTAAAAGAGGAGGTTATAAAATTTATTCAGAGAATGTTAAAATCAAGAAGTGAATATACAATCTTTGTCACTTTGAATCTGCAGGATCAAAAGATTTCTCCATTTAAACTCACTCATTCTCATATCTCAGAACTGAATTGGATCCTACTTATTTATCAGACTCCTTTTCTTTTCTTTTCTTTTCTTTTCTTTTCTTTTCTTTTCTTTTCTTTTCTTTTCTTTTCTTTTCTTTTCTTTCCCCACCCCCCTTCTTCCAGGGCAGTTTATCAAGTCTCTATCCCATTCAGATGTCCATCAAGAAGAGTGGATATCAGCTTACTGACATGTATACCTATCTGAGCCTTGCTTTCTGCCTGGCATGTTTGGAAGAGAAGATGGAAAGCTAATAGAGAATGTTCGTAGTAAACACGAGGAGAAGCAAGTTATCTCCTGGGAGAATCTGTTCTGCAGTAGTATTATCATGGGTCTTAATATAGGATGTTTCCTTTCCACTGCCATGGGATATGGAACAACTTTTTAAAAGGATTTTGACTGGGAACCTGTCTTAGGTCAAGTAGCCACCAAAGGAAAAATAAGCTTTAAATAGTTAGAAAGCCCTAATGAATATGTTCATGTACTTTGGCCAGCCAGCCTGCTGTTTCCATCAGACACAATTGGTATCCAGTAGTACATTGCCTACAGATTTTATATTGTTAACAGATTCTATAACTACTGTATATTCACATGTATAAGCAGTGGGATCATTTGGGGTGTGTGAAGAGCATGGATTGCACTGGGTGACACTTTAGAAAAGGGGTGAGAACAGGCGATTGCCCCCTCCCTGGCTTCACCATGGTGGCAGCTCCATCTTCAGAAGGAGGCCACTGTCACTGTGAAGGAGAAGGGTGAGTGTGTACTTCTTGGCTTTCCTATGGCAGTGGCTCCCTCTTCAGGAGGAGGCCATGGCATTGGCTAAGAGAAAGGGTGAGCACAACATTTTTGGTTCCAGAAGACTTATCCCAGATCGGCAGTAATTGTGGTGGCAGCAATAAAACTTTTTCATGCTGAAATACGACTTTCAGATGATGTTAGAACTCCCAGAAGTTTAAACAAGGTACAGTAACTGTACAGAGCTTAAACATGCCCAGATACAGAAAAATATCTTCTTTTTCAACAAGTGCAAGCAATGAGATGTCCTTCCTGAGTACTTGAGTACCCTTTGCAAAACTATGTATCATGTAGAGCTCATGGGTTCTACTCATGCTGACTAGTTCTGCAGTAGCCAACATTCCTTTTCAGTTTTCTTCAGTTAAACTCCTGCACTCCTGTCTGTCCCTGGCTTCCACTCCACCATAAGCATCTGAAGAAGTAGACTAAAGTCTATGAAAGCTAATGCTACAAACATCTTTTCCCCCAGTTAGTCTCAAAGGTGCTATAAAATCTCTTTTTATATTAATCCTCTAGACTAACATGGCTATATCTTTAAATTGTACAGAGCTTGTTTTGAAGGCTACCAGTCCTGCATTGCACAGGTCTTGTTTTAATGCACAAAGATGTATTTCTTTATTTTTATTTTATTTATATACTACCTTTCTCCTTCTAAGGGGCATTTAGCATTTACATTTCCATACCACTTCATAGTGAACTGAGCACTCTCTAAGTAATTTACAGTCTGTAAGTCAATTGCTCCCAACAAGCTGGGTAATGATTTTACCAACCTACGAAAGGATTGAAGGCTGAGTCAGCCTTGGAGCCCTGGAAATAAGTCCTGAATAAGTCCTGAATATAAAATATGCTTTGAAAAACTGCATGGTTTTCAAAGACTTTCAAAGTGGGAAGAAAATGGTGAAATTTACCTTTTGCTTCCTTTAAGAAGAAATGTGGGCTATTTCTTGAAGAAGAAATTCCGCCACTCTGCAGAATTTAACTGTCATGGCTCCATCCTATGGAATCCTGAGATCTGTAGTTTGTTGTGGCACCAGATCTATCTGACAGAGAAGGCTAAATGTCTCACAAAACTACAAATCCCAAAATTCCACAGCACTGAGCCATGGCAGTTGACTGCATTAATTCTGAAGTGCTGATTAGACCATAATGAAGAATTATATTCCTCCTGGACTGTGTGGGACTATAGAACCCACAGAAACGGACCTGGCCATAAGCTGCCAACCCTACTTTAAGGGCTCTGGCATGTTGTATCCCCCCCCCCCCCCCCCCAAATTCCTCATCTCAGTATTGTTATGATTATTATTTTGAAGACCCCTAAAATTCTCCCATCAGTTGACAGACCTAACTGAAATAAATAAATAAAAATAAATAGAGCTCTGATGAGAACTGAATGCAAGTGGAATTCTAGGGAATGAAGCTTTGGCAACATGGCCTGTCCTTATTTTGGTATCTAATGACTTGAGGCTTAAACTCGCTCCCATTAAAACCGATTGAACTGCTTAACTGTTGCTGGATTGTATCATTGGTTTCACAGCTTCTTGCCAAATTGAGCAAGGAAAAAGACTTACATTCTGCCAGATTCTACTTAAAACCCATATGTCCCTTCCTATTTCTCTCCCCCACCTCCCCACCCCAAATATCATCACTTATGTCATGCTGCTTCTGAATCATTTGGTATGATGATCACATTATTGCTTCTGCTGCTGCTGTTCAGGCTGATGTGAATCAAAATTCATGAATTCCAATGGTTACAAAGAGGTTTTAATGATTGCCTTCAGCAGATGAAATATATCGGTTTTCAAAAAGGTATGCGAAAATATGGATATGAGGCCTAATCATCAGTGGGAGGAGGAGCGGGAGAGATCAACAAGCTGGACAAGTTCAGAAACCTTTAGTGATTGTGCAGTGATCTGTAATGAAAATTCAAGTGCCTCGCCTTTAATGATCCATTTATCTCTCTGACATTATTTTCTATCATTCTAACTGGCATGGTTCCTGCTATTCTGGGTGTACACTTTGAATTTGTTTTGTCAAACAAGCTGTTAATAGGAGATAGGTGCATTCTGCATCCTGATACTTCGGTCTGAATTAGTAGGGCTCAAAATATTGGGGGGGGGGGGTGTGCCTTCCTGGTGAAGAGGAAGCAAGACTCTTGGAATATACAACATTTTCTTTTTAGGGGAGATTCAGACAGAACCAAATGCATTTTCATCCCATGAGGTTTAGTATTGCAACCAACAGAGCAGCCTCCTTGCATCAAGACACAGAACATAATGAGCTTATGGGTTATTATGGTTCTTCTCTTCCTGCCTGCTTTTCTGGATTGGTGGTTTTAGATGGGAATCTGAGATGGTAGTTGAAAAATATTTTTCTTTAATGCCAGTACTGGATTAATGTCTCAAGCCACAGATCTTTAGGCACATATCAGCAGGCTGCATACATGTAGGTATGCATGAGATTTCAGTGTGCACTCATCTGGTGATGAGATGAAAATAAGGAAAACTCTACTGGCTCAGCAAATTCCAGATTTTGGAGGTGGTACAACACACAGTAAGTCTTGAGAGAGAAACATTGACCCATGGACTCCTGGAGCTTTCTCAGCTTCATCTAAAGCTGTCATCAGTGGCAGATGTATCTTCCACAAATTTCTTTGATTCTAAAATAAAGCTGTCTATATTAGTGTTTTGAAAGGTGAGATTTGACACTTGGAAGTGGAGTAATTTTAAATTTAAAAGAGGAACTTTTAAGTACTTCTGTAAACAACCACATCAACCTCCTCTTTCTCCTTTTTCTCCTCCTTTCCTCCCCATTATTGTTATTATTATTGTTAAAGAAGAAAAAAGACACGATGGGGCAAATCCAAACTGATTAAAAAGACCACCAAGTTCCAGATTATGTTTCTGGTCTTTGTGATTTTATATTGGAGATCCATAGACATTTTGCTTATCCAAGAATATTTTCTGTCAGTTCCTGCCAACATCAGCTACGTTTAATACCAGCTCCCCAGGTCAGGTTATTTTAATGCAGTATCAACTGGAAAGAACATGAACAAAATTTGGGACTTTTCAATCAGTCTGAAAGTGCCCTAAGATAAATCATTTCATATCTAAATTAGAAATGTTACAGAACTGAAGGAACAGGAGTGTTCAAAATATGGCAATACACCAGAATTTTTATTTATTTTATTAACTCTATATCCCACTCTTTCTATCTGTATGGGTCCCAAAGCAACTTACCCAAGGTGGGTCATAGAATCATAGAATCATAGAATCATAGAGTTGAAAGAGACCACAAGGGCCATCCAGTCCAACCCCCTGCCATGCAGGAACTCCTCTCTTGTCATCTTGGAAGGACAACAGTGCAAGCAGCACTTTATGGTTGTCACATTTATGCATATTGACTGTGTTGTTCAAATGTTATGTTGCCTTTGAAAAGGAAGAATGGAAGAATGAAAACTAAATGGTTCCATTGCAAGCTAGAGTGAAATTGCTCTATTTGAAATGGGTGATAGTGACAAGCCCTGGCATATAAACAAACATTTTTCAAGATGTTAATAACACCAAGTGTTGATTACAATGTCTGCATCTCCCTCCCCCCCTCCCCACATGGATTACTCTCTCACTTTTCTCCCATTTTTTTCACCATTCATTGAGAAGCAAATGGTCAGTGCTTCTTCTCTAGTTCACATTTTAATCAGACTTTGAGCTGATTTAGAGAACAATGTGGGTTTCTTATGCTTGTTTTATTGTGACAAATATTACAATTCCCACTGTCCCCTTCCCCAGTTCTTATTTGGGAATGTGGTCAGGAAGGATCACCAACACTGCTAAATTAGAAAAGGGCTCCACTTCCAATGATGTGAGAAGCATTTCAGACAAGAAGGGTTGACTTAGGTTAGGGGCCTGTTCCATAGTTAT